TGTTTATTATCGTAGGGGAAGTTGAAATAAGTCTAATGCGCATGCGCTGAATGCTTAGCTCCTCGTTTGTGTATTCAATAATAACTTATATATTGCCATTAAAATTAAACGCTTTTTCTACCCCAAAGCTCATTCTATTAGTGTCAAAGTTATGACATGAATAGACCGAAAAGTACGGAAAAATGGACATTACAAAATAATAGGAGAAATGACACTAAATATCCAATCTAAGGGAATCAATATTTGCAAAGAGAAAGGGACATGCACAAAATTGTTCCCCTTACAAATTTTAGAGTGGAATGAAATGTTTACTCCGTAAGATGGTTGGTTTAGAATTATACAGTTTGTTTGATGCTTGTACGAAATGATGAATTAATGATTAAAAGATATAGCATGGAAAAATCTTGGTGAACGTATGGAAGGGTCAAAACCAATATTTTGTAACAAGATATCTAATGGTTGAGTATTCATATGTTATTTAGGTAAAGCATGTACTTTCTCATTTGTTCATATTTCAAAGTGGCTTGGGATGAAACACCCATTCTAAACGGTGGCTCTTTCAAATATTAGTGATCTGTAAAAGTTGGAGTCCTCGGCAGTTTGTAGAGCTATATACCAAAACAAAGCTGAAGCAGGTAAACATAATTTCTAAAATTATCCGGTTTTTTAAACATTATGATTGTTTTTTTTTTTTTTGTTGTTGTTTTTTTTGTTGTTGTTGTCTTAATATCGAAGAACTCTTTGCCATACGATACGAATTACCCCAAAATGACGTTGCTAGAGAATATCTTCGCTTAAAAATGCTAAACGCGAAGACACGAAATTTGGCCAATTTATGGAATCCTTGTGCCGTCATGTCTTCGCTCCGAAAGTCGAAGACACAATACTTGTCCAATTTATCAGAAATCTGCCACCATAAAATGTCTGCGAACTTTATCGTGCATGGAACATGATCTTAACTTCCCCCTTGGCTCAACACAAAATATTTCACAGAGCTTGGTTAAATAAGATATTAACGTTTATTCAACATGGTGCTGGCGACATCGGCAATGCACATGTGACGGAGCCAACTTAATGACACCGCTATATTTCTGTCTAAGTATAAAAGGTGTCATTTTCAATAACTTGTTCATCACTGAAAAATATGTTTAAATGTTTTCCTAGATTTGGAATTGTTAAGTTTGTAAATAAAAGTATCTTTGGTCTAATTAATTTGATTTGCTTTTTGATGTGCATTCTTTTATTGTATTTCGCCGGTGTGTGCGTCGAAGATTCATTGCTTTTACTGTAACTCTTAAATAGTGTTGCATTGCTTTAGCGAAATTTACTTCGTGCTAGGCGTCACACAATTTATCAAAAGTAGATCGTTATCAACTCATGCAAGTTTGTCTAATCATGATTATGTATCGCCAATGTTCCATAATATCGACTCTAACCAAATGTTTGCATTGGCTGCATTACATTTGCTAGGGCTCTTTCACATTGACAATGGCACAAGCACTATGTGAATGGCTCGAACACATTTGAATAATTGTAAGTATTTTATTATTAACCAAGCTCTTTGATCTACTTTTTTGTGTTGAGCCAAAGGAGGTGAGTTAGGCACAATGCTACATGCAAGATTATGTTGGTCAACATTGTCTTTCTGGTAGAGAAATCTCAAAAGATGTGGCTCTTCATGAAAGAAAACATACGAGTTAGTATTTGGTTAAAGTTTTAGCAACGGCTCTCCTTTAAACATATCACCATATTTTATTCACAAAATAATACATGGTAGAACATTACAAATAGTATTGAGTTTGTTATACATATAAAATTAACATATTATAAAAAGAAAAGAAAAAAGAAGAACGAACACAATATATTTCTTATACATTTTGGAATAGGATATGGAATAAGTATCAAATACTTATGTTGATTCATCTCTTAAGATGTTGTAAGAAGAATGGCTGTGATTCGAAAAGTAATGTAATGTGTTTGGATATAGATTTAATAATAATTATCATTAGGTTTTGCTGCTACAGTGCTTGGAGTTTTGGTCTGAGATAGTGTAGCGTAAATTACTAGGTTCTACAATAATATCGGGCCGCTGCTACGTATAGCTATAGAAGGGTATTAACGCAAAAATTACATATTGCCTTCTTACATATTTTGTGCTTTTTGACTTGTACATCTTGGATTCTTACTATTACTTTTGCATTATAACATGCACAAAATGCATTCTGGCTTGCACATCTTGCATTATGACTTGCAAAGTTTGCTTTGAATTGCATGCATCGTTCGTTATTTGACTATCTTCAAATTTGTTTACATTAAAGTTATATGTTTGATGCTAAAATCAGTTCAGTATAATTATAATGATCGTAAACTGTCTACATTTAATGTGTACAAAAATAGGAAACCTATGTTAATCGATTATACATGTATAAATAATAAAAGGAAGCATGCACTGTGTGCAATACAACAAGGCAGATTGCAAACTACACTCTTTTTTTACGACAGAGGGCGCAAGTTCGGAAACATGAACGGAACATTACTGAAATTACTGAAAATATACGAGTATCCGGAATATCGATCACCTTCCATATCCAAACATGTTGAACAACTGTTCTATTTTATAAGAATTTTGTTGATAAAAAAAATAATTCTAAAATCATTGATTTGGAAATGTGCAACTTGTCATTGTCAGCTGAAAATATCATTTGACCTACACAGTTTCAGTAATAAATACAAAAAATGGTTAAATCGTTTTGTATATATGTTTACTTTATTTGCTCTATAGTGGAAATGGAAATTTTAAAACAAAGGGACGTTACCCACCTGTTAGCATGATTTGGGTATCACATATTATTACACAAGATGTCGCGTCGTATTATGCTTGCTGCATTCGCCTTTCGGCTATGCGTCATTGTACCTTATGACATTCGTCATTCAAGCTGAGAAGACCCAAATACAAACAGTTGCAGGTTAAGTTATTGAATTAATATACCAGATCATCAAATGAATAATATTTGATCGTAAAATAACGATATCAACATACAACTAAGGAAGACGTACACAGCAGAAAGCATAATATGCATGTAAAAAGCAACATGTAAACGTCAGAATGCGAGATGTACAAGTCAGAATGCAAGATGTACAAGTTAGAAAGCACAATGTAACGTAAAAAAGCAAACGTAATTTTTGCGTTGATACCCTTCCATATAAAGCAACGAGAGGCGACAATAAAGTCTTGTGCGCGTTTTAAAACAGTTGTATTATCAACAATATTAAGGTTTTCAGATCTCTTAAGAAGATTTTGAAATGTCGTTGGGCAAGGTTTGTTGGATAATAGCGCTTATCTGATAGTGTCAAAGATATATCGCCGTACATATCAATCATAAATCGCAATTCCCTAATTTTTTTGAAAACATTGTTTATACCTTAAAAATGTTCAGTTATTATATAGAGGATATTTGTTTGTTTGTGTGTAAGATGAAATTTTATTTCATCGAGTGAGCTTTAAAAACAGTATTCTCACGAGTGGCGTAGCCACGAGTGAGAATACTGTTTTTAAAGTTCACGAGATGAAATAAAATTACATCTTACACAACAAACAGACAAATTTTCTTTTTATTTTATGCTTAAAAACAAGTAAAAACGAAATTTCCATAATTTTAACGTTAATATTAAAATCTGTTTCCCCCATTGAGAGCCCCATTTAGACGAAATTTCTCATTTGAAACAAAAGTCTTGAGCTGAAAAAATAAGTCCGCCAATCAAGGTTAAATGACGGTGATATTTATTCATTTTATAAAAAAATATGAATGATGCTTGTTTTAATAATAAAAACAAACAATTCTTGCAGGAGAAAATTCCAACCATCCATCCATATTTCTGTTACTTACTTGCGAATTTATATTAGACCTGGCTTTCTAAAATGTAAACGGCAGCCATTTTTTAAAGTTGTGTATTTCATGGGAGGAAAATAATTGTGTAAGATTCAGAAGGATATATTTGGATTTGTTAGTCATACACCTTTTTAAAAGAAGAAAACTTATTTGAGGATTGTAACAGACAAAAATAAAGTGTTGACAGAAGTGAAAACATTCAGAAAAGGAGCTAGGAAACTGAAAAACTTGGAAGCTTGCTGAAGGAACGCTGGGTTGTTTTACATATTTTACGAGTGTCATGGCTGTCAATGCTTTTTTAATTTTTTCATAAAGCATACGGCAGTTATTGCTTCGTAGGATACTTTAATATGCCATGCATGTCATCAAGAGCAGTTTTGCATGGGGTAAGGAATGTATTTTTCAGACTGTAAAACGAAACAAAAAAAAATTTAGAGACGAAATTTGGTGATTGGAATTTGAAGGAATAGAAGTAAGTTTTCTCTCTGTGTTACTTTTGACATTTAATTTATTTATCTATTTCAGCTTTGCTATTTCTTTTAACAGCCTGACATTGTCAGAATTGTCCGTAAAAATAAATTTGAGGTACCACATGGGAAAAATCTTAAAAAAGTAGTTTCGTCATTGAAAAAAGTGAAATTATATTTTGATAATTTTCACTGTGAAATTATCAAATATAATTTTCACGGATAAATCAGTAATCCACTGAAAAGCATAAAATAAAAGTCTTGATTTAGAAGTAATGTAAATATGCTTCACATAAAAGTACGATATGCATATTATAAAACTGCAATATCTGGTCGAATCCAAAACCCTATTACATGTACATATTTTCAATTGTAGTCGATGATGCCGGTTTAATTATGACAGTAACGTTACGGAATATTAACAACACTTAACTTGTTGCTCCCCATTGTAACACAGAATATACTATATATTTGTTACAAATTTAGTTTTAAAATACAATATAATTATGTGGTAATAAACGGAGGAATGCGAATTTATGATACTATATATTGCTTGTGGTTTTATATATTAACGAAAATTATATAATTTACATACAGACTGTATTCCCGTTAACAATGTCAACTATTTGAAATTGATCACTCGTTAACTAACGTGTCAATATGTACATTTACTTGGTTAACTGAAGCATGTGTACCAGTAAATACATACTGCATTATATATTGCGGTGGTTTTGATCGGATTAACGTTTGTTTAAGAACCACGGTAAGAGATAATACTTAGTAACATCTATAGATCTATATCAACGCTTTTGATTTGATGTGTCCTTTATTTCTGTATGCAGTCATTATTTTTGTAAATGAATACTCTAGTTTTACACTTTAAATAGAAATTTCATTTTTTTATTTATAAGATTAAATCGTTCTGAATATAAAGTGATAAATAAGACATATTTTGTCAATATGTTTTAGTAACAACAAAGGGAAGTAGTTTACACTTGTGTCCAATGTCGAGGGGTTAAAGTCGTTGACTTCAAACCACTTGATCCTCATCGCTTGGGTTCGAATCACGACAGGGACTTTGACTGTTGTATGTGAGGAAGCCTATCCATTCAGCTTACGGAACGCCGGTAGTTAAAGCCCGTTTGTGCTAGTTATACTACAAAGAGTGACACATGGGGTCCTGTGCAACTTATTAAGCTGGAAAGTCGCCATAAAATCATCTTGACACATATTATATTACAGATTATAATCTTTAAAGAAATACTATCTTGTCTTAAGAAAGTATTTGTCTATTTTGTCATTGAATATTGTTTTAATATGTTAAAATATTTGATAATTTGATATAAGACGTTTTGGCAATTATAAGTATAATAACGACGATGTTCTGATGATTATTAGTATTTTGGTATAATTACTATGCAGTTGTGGTGATTATTAGTATTTCTAGCATAATAACTATGTATTTGTAGTAACTTTTAGTACTTTTAGCCCTCAAGGAATGACACGTGGGGTCCTGTGCAACTTATTAAGCTGGAAAGTCGCCATAAAATCATCTTGACACATATTATATTACAGATTATAATCTTTAAAGAAATACTATCCTGTCTTAAGAAAGTGTTTGTCTATTTTGTCATTGAATATTGTTTTAATATGTTAAAATATTTGATATAAGTAGTTGTGGCAATTATAAGTATAATAACGATGATGTAGGGATGATAATTAGTATTTTGGTAAAATTACTTTGCAGTTGTGGTGATTATTAGTATTTTTAGCATAATAATTATGTAATTGTAGTAATTTGTAGTACTTTTAGCATAATGAATATGTTGTTGTGATGATTATTAGTATTAATATTTTCAGTACAAAAACTAGAAAGTTGTGATGATTATCAGAATTTTTAGTATAAAATCTATGTAGTTGTGGTGATTATTAGTACCGTATTTCTAACTTAACAATAATGTAGTTGTTTTGCATTTTAGATTTTTTTAGCATAATAACAAGTTGGTTATGATGATTATAAGTATATTTAGCTTAACAACTATGTAGTTGTTGTGATTTTCAGGTTTTTTTAGCATAATAACATGTAGGTTGTGATGATTATAAGTATATTAAGCTTAACAAGTATGTAGTTGTTGTGATTTTCAGATTTTTTTAGCATAATAACATGATGGTTGTGATGATTATAAGTATATTTAGCTTAACAAGTATGTAGTTGTTGCGATTTTCAGATTTTTTTTAGCATAATAACAAGGTAGTTGTGGTGATAATTAGTATATTTAGTATAATAACTACGTTTTGTTTGTTTGATTTTACGCCTTACGTAGCAGTGGTGACTTTTAGTATTTTAGTATAACAACTATATAGATGATTATTACAATAAAAACTGTACTATAAGAACAGCTATGCAAATACAAAATACGGTCAAGTTTTGTGCTACAAGAAAATTTAACATTAAACATTGCAGATATTTGATAGCGTAATGACTATGAGCACAATGTGATCATTAAATGCATAGTTTAACAGAAAATTAAAAAAGCTATAAAGGTAGAATATGCGTTCATACGAAACGAAATTAATACAAAATACGTACAAAGAATGTATACTTAAAAATCTGCTTCCAAAAATTTATGATGACTGCACTGTTGCGAATCGAGAAACTTCACGGACAGGCTCAGGCAGTAATAATCTCTGTACATAAAAAAAAACTTTTTTAAACTAATTTTGAAACAGAACATTATGTCAGAACTGTTTATCAAATATCATACAGTGGTGCCTTGGCAAAATTCAGAAGTGGGACAGCTTCAATAGGTTTTAAACTTGGAAGATATAACGGACTACAAGTAGAACAAACACTCTGTTTCCATTGTAAGAAGTTGAGGATGGAGCTCAAGTATTGTTACATTGCCCTCTTTAAGATTCAATTAGATTAGAATTACTTCAATCGGTAAATAGCTTTTGTAATGGTTTTGTTAATTTAACCAATATTGATAAAGTTGGATACATTTTATCTAATGCAGACATAGAAGTAGTAAGTGCCAAAACCTGCTATAACATCCTAAATAAAAGTTGTTTTATATCATTAGTAATCATAAAAGAAACACTGTCTTGTATATTTGATGTATTGTCCTAGTGTGTACAGTACCCCAGTAGTATATTGTTTTGATGATATATGCAATGTTTTAATTGATGCCTGAAGTTTTCTTATAAATCTTAATGTGCTCTGATCTTATCAATTACACACAATTATTTCACAACCATGCATTAGACTGTGGAACATTTTGGCATTTTGTTATATTCCAATTCTTTGACATCTGCTTTTTAATATGATAAGCATGGAAACTTTATGTTATTTTACCTGTATATCATTATGTATATTAAAGGGAAATACTAATACAGCTTGTTGTGTAAGAAATGTGTGTAGCTAAGGGAGACAAATCTGCATGCATTATATCTCCTGTTTTGTTATCCTAGAGAGTTGTCACCCTTAGAAGTAAAAACAGTCACCTTTAATTCTATTTTAGAATGGCTATACATGTATTTCATATTTGCATTGTGTATTTTAATTATATGTTTGTATGTGTAGATGAGACTCTAATAAACAATAAATTGAAAATAGACAATCCGATAACCTATGTATTTCATATCTAAATTTTGAAGAAAAATATTAGCTAAACTATTAGGCACGTCGTAGGTAACATTTACATCTTTAGGTCTCTTGTCGTTCAGATGTAAAATTATGAAAAATAAATAAATAAATATTTAGAAATATCCATTTAAAGCGCACATTAGAAACAAGGTTAAAGCTTGAATTTTATAATTTTTATTTCAGAAATGTCTGCTTTAAAGGTGAAGGATGCTGGTGGTTCAACTATAGACATGATAGATGTTGGTGGTTTCATAGCTTCAAATTTCAAGCCTCCCTCGGGGATTAAAAAGCTTTTTGATAACACACCGAACTTCAAGTTCAGAGATGATGATGTAATGCTTTGTACATATCCTAAAACAGGTATTGACTTTAATTATTGATGTTGTTAGTAGATTTCCTAGGCGCATTAGGTATAAGGCTTTGTTTAAACAAATTCATTATTTTAGACGAAACATATATCGAAAGCATTTATTTTTGAAAGTTAATGAATGTGTAAAGTTTAAAAACGTTTCTTCACCACTTTTTTTAAAGGTAGAGTTCATCATTTTTATCATCGGTTTTAATGCTATTTCATTTATTAAATTTAACATAAAACTTGTAAAACCAAACACTTGTAAGTGCGTTATTTCAGTTCAGTTTATTTCGAATGATGTAGGGAAGATCACTGCGTCCAGATTGATTGGTAAAATGGGTCTCCTCACCCCTGGTCCACTTTACAAAGAATATTATGTTCACTTCCGTTCCATACCTCTAAATAGTTCAAACACAAAAGCAACATATTGTCGTCTTAAGAAAATATCAAGGTCATATCAAACGAATAGCAAAAGTTTTAAGTACAAGTATGTTCTTGTCTAATAAAACATATACGCCAGCATTAAATTTTATTGATCCTATATTGCCGAATGGTTAAGATCGATGTCTTCAGACCACTAACCCCTTATTGTTAAGTGTTCTAAAAATAAAGGACTTTGGACTATTTTATGTGAGGAAGCTATTTAGCTAACTTACGACACGTCTGCGGTACTCATGTGCCAATACGTGCCAGAAGTTATGCACGAAAGGGCACAAAAAATCCATACTTTTTGATAACATCATTTTTATTCAATTTTACGTAACTAAGCTCTTGGCTATATAAAGTAGGGTTATCAATGTTATGCACGAAAGGGCTTAAAAAAATCCATACTTTTTGATAACATCCTCTTTATTCAATTTTACGTAACTAAGCTCTTGGCTATATAAAGTATGGTTATCAATGTAACCGAATAAAAAATATGTGATTTACAGTATTTTTATTATAATATTTATATTTTGTATCATTTAGTTTAAGTGAAACAATTCATTCTTCTATAAAGGCACATAATACCTCAGAACCAAATAAATATATTCTCTTGTAAAAAGGACATAAAAGGCTTTATTACGTTTAGACAATGATTCAGGTGCATGTTAGATAATTTAGCTGTGAAGTGTTTATGTTTGAAAATGTAAAGAAAGTAGTACTTTTATCCATTCAAGATACTAAATTATTATAAATAGTCTGATTAAGAGGAGAAAATGATGGCTCAGGTAATTGCTTAACTATTAACTTTTTGAAAATAAAAGCGGAACATAAAAAATAACGAATTTTTGAAAAAATAATAGAATAAATTCTTTGACAGAATTAACCTTTATTTCGATTAGTATTTCAAAGTAATATTAACAATTAGGAATAACCTACACATATACAGTATAATTTAAAGGTACGCATTTGATGTTTGACATGTTGCTGATGATATTAAAGAAGTCAGTGGCACCTATACAAGGCAATAAGCTGATACCACTGTGGCAGTGCCAATCACTAGATGACATGAACAAGTTACCGTCTCCTAGAGTTATCAACAGCCACAACCCACTCAGGTTCGAATTGTACTTTACATCTAACAGTGCAAATATTGTAACGAAAAGTCATGAAAGAGGTTATCCAGAGGTTGTAATAATTGTATGTGAAGGTATATGCCATAAATGAAAAACAGTTATATTTTTAAACTTATTTATATACTTATAATATATATGCTTTCGTTAAACAGTTTTCAATTCCTTTATAATGAATCATGAATTTTGTTGTGTGAGTGCTACGGTTTTTTATTAATTTATTTGTCTTGTGATTCAGAACACAGTTTTTATAATGATTTGTGATTAAAGAAATACGTTTCGACATGTCACAATTATTTGTCATATGACAGTAGTTACCTTTGTGTAGATACTAACATTAAGTTCTTCAATAGAGCATTTTGTCCACATATTTCCTTGTGAATAAAAGTAAGTAGGTCATGTTAAGTACTAATGTAGCCAGCACTTATCACTAGCGTCCATAAACATACTCAATAAAACCGGGCCGGTTTCATTTTCAAATTTGCCGTTTGGATTTAAAGAAATTATTTTTTCTATGAGAGGACCGTTTTCCTTTCAGATATCTGCCTGTTAAAGGTTTAAAAGAGAAACAGATCAAGACAGTGTTATGTTGCCGAAATCCCAAAAATACTGTTGTGTCATTCTACAATCACATGCGTGGTGTTAAATACTACAGCTATGACGGTAAATGGGATGACTGGTTGCCACTTTACCTTGAAGGAAAACGTATGCGAGATTAACATTTAAAAACTTAACAAAAATATCAATGTTTTACGGACACTTTATATCAATTTAAGTCACCGCATAAGACATTATTATCACACAGATTTCTATTTTATATAAAACTCATTGCTGTGAAGGGTATTTTATAATATTAAATCTACTTTACTACTATTTACAGACCAATCTGCGATAATAAATCATACTTGTAACTTTATAATAGTATATTTGAGTCAGAGGAACTGCAAGTATATGATTAGGAACATTTAACTGTAAATCAATTAATAAAGTTGTTAAATTAAAATGGTATTTCATTAAATCATTTTCTTCATGAATTTAGTTTTTTTCTGTGAAGTGAGGGGAGCGTAAGTGTTTAACTGCTGCTGTTTCAAATGTATTCTTATTTTAAGACTCTTAATCTGTTATTGTTTTTATTAGTTTTATTAAGAACACACAAAGGGCAATTGGCAGTCGTAATGTGACAAAATCAATGTCAAATACCAAGCTAAAATATGTTATTTGCAGTTGCATTTGGAAAATATTCCGACTATCTGCTAGAATGGGAGAAGGCAATGAAAGAAAACATCGGATTTCCACTCCATGTTGTTTTCTACGAGGATTTACAACTTGTAAGTTCTCGTTTGTATCTTAAACAACTTTATATTAAAAAGTTAAAGTAAAGAATGTGCTGATGTTTTTAGTGTCCGCTTTTCATAGAAAATATTTTCCTCAAAAATTACTACATTTTCTTTTATCTTTTATGAATAATGTTGTTTCACGTCAAAAGTCAATGACACTAATAGCTTTTTGTATTGATCATACATGTGTCAAGCGCCAGTGGCCCATATCACATATAAATAAGTTGAGTTCAGAGTTGATTTATATAAATATTATGAAATTATACTTTAAATGACAGCATTATGTTATGATACGTGTAAACCATTAACATGTTATATTATTTATACATGTATATTATAAAAAATAATTTGACGGCAATATGCATTTCCTAATGGATATGATTTATTAATTTTCTAATAATAACGCTGTATTTGTTCCAGTTATTATTTTAGTCAGAAACAAATGAATGATTGATCGTACCTGATAACTGAGAAAAGAAACCATAATGTCCTGATAGAAATATTTATAACAGGATACTTATAAGGAGATGGACAAACTGTTAAAGTTTCTAGGTGTGGAGTTGGATGACAAATTAAAGCAAGACATCGTTAAGGAATGTGGATTTGATGTAATGGCTTCAAAGCCAATGCCTAAGGAAGTGGTAGATACCTACTTCAAAGACGATTTCAGGATTTTCCGAAAAGGTAAAACGACAGGCACTACGATATAATGAATCAGACGTAGGAAGTCTTTTATAATTTCCGAGCGCACGTGGGCTACTACGTGGTGACGGCTATCAACAACCGCGTGGCACGTAATACATATTGCATGTAATGCCTATCGCATTGCCACGTAATATCTTACCAGTGCACATACCATAATAGCTATCACATGACCGCGTTTTGGTTTTTACGTGGGTACGTACTAACATTCGACCGTTGTAAATAAAATAGTTATCATATTCAATTTATGCCACCGTAATAGCACCACATTCATATATTTACAATTATTATGTCATTTAAAGGAAGCATTGAATTTAACAATTATTACTATACTTTGTTAATGGTATAATTGGCCAAGGTGTTTATTTAAAAAGGTTATTAATGAATAATTTATTGTTAAAGGCACATTTAAGCCGCGTCACGACAAAACCATCATATTGCGTTTGCGACCAGCATGGATCCAGACCAGCCTGCGCATCCGCACAGTCTGATCAGGATCCATGCTGTTCGCTATCAGTTCAACTTGTTATAGATTTTGGTAAGCGAACAGCATGGATCCTGACCAGACTTTGCGGATGCGCAGGCTGGTCTGGACCCATGCTGGTCGCAAACGCACTATGTTGGTTTTGTCGTGACGCGGCTCATTTTGGAATAGTATTTATTCTTTAAAAAAGGGCAAACATGTGTTAAGTAATGTTTCAATAATACTTTTAAAGCAAATTAGATGCCTTTCATCAGATTATAGCATTAACCATTCTGATTACTAAAAATAAACAAACTCAATATGTCTTAGCTGTATAGCAAATGAGTACTTTCTCTGGAAATTGTTACAGTTGGTGGGGGATTGATGTGCTTAATATGGACCTTTGTAAAGGACACGTCAGAAATACTTCTACATTAACATGCACATTAAGCTTAGTGCAATGGGATTAAATACAATTGCACATTTAGCGTTTTGGTTTATATTTTTTCTACTTTATTCCCCTTAATGTTTTACCTTGTAATGTTTATAGGAAAAATTGGAGATTGGAAGAATTGGTTTAGTGACAAACAGAATGCAAAGTTTGATGAAATGTGGACAGAAGAAATGAAAGATTCATCATTTAAATTTATATATACTGACCCAAGAGCAGATTAAATATACAATGAGAGATAACATTACAATCTTATATTTTTCGTTTTATTTCATTTATATATATTTTCCTGTTTGTATAGCGTTTATGCATTTTTACATGGTACTAGTTTTGCCATAAGTGGACTAAAATATCGCCTGGTAAAATCGATCTTAGACTAACTTATCTGCATAAAATCTTTTTGTCTGTGTCCTAGAATATTACTGCGAATTAAACATTTGTTTCTAATAAACAAAGTTTTCAATATGTCTAAATTGGAGTTAACTTCTGTCGCCGGTTTGTACATAGAAAGTGTAAGTAGAAGGCCTCTTTGCAGAAATTTTTTATTGCCAGATCTGTTTATGAAATAGTGTTCAGTTGTTGAAGCGTTAAGATGATGAACAGGTGAAAGGTTCAGTTGTTCAGTTTCGTTTGCTCCTGCACCCTCACCATTTTAAAAGATATGTTATGTCGATAATTGAGTTATTTTAAGTATCAACAGAAACTTCGTAAAAGATTTATATACCGCTGCCGAAACAGACAGAAATATCTAGCTCGACGGTAACCTTATACAAATTAGCCTGTGACGCGTTTCCGCTTGTGTAAAGTGACAAAATTACGTGGAGTGTAGAATATACAGTTGAGTAAAGGATGTTATTACAAAGTAACAATTATTTGTAATACATTTATATAGTAATTCAGCAATCAATATTATTAGTCCTAAACAACTCTTTTTGATATTGTTACTTCAATATGTTGTGACAATATATAGGACGTACGTCACAAGCTACAACAATTAATTAACTAAATATAAAAGCGGCGTCCGTGGCCGAGTGGTTAAGGTCGCTGACTTCAAACCACTTGCCGCCCCTCACCGCTGTGGGTTCGAATCTCGACTGGGACTTTGGATTCTTTCATGTGAGGAAGCTATCCAGCCAGCTTACGGAACGTCGGTGGTTCGACTCAGGTGCCCGTTCGTGCCTGAAATAATGCACGGAAGAGCACCTGAGGTCTTCCTCCACCAGTAAAGCTGGAACGTCGCGATATGACCTATACTGTGTCGATGTGACGTAAAACCCAAAACAAACAAAACAAAATAATATAAAAACTGCATATAGTCTGATTTTATTGACCTGCCAATTATGAATACATTATAGCACTCATTTAAATATTCGATCCCACTTCGGTTTTGTTCGTTTATTTTACGAGAATTAATATGGAGTGATATCAATTACGTTTGGAAACTCCCACTAGCTAAATGTAGGTTGTCGTAACATCCGCAATAGCACAGTCGGTTAAGTGATTAACTAATGCATAAGAGGCCCCAGGTTCGATCCGTTCTTTTGACATTCTTTTTAGCCTTATTCTTTCTTTATTTTTATTTTTAAGTATATTTTAAATAAAAATGGTCAAGCGCTTGCAAAATTGTCTACACGCATATGAAACAACTAAGAAAGACTGAATTGTCATGTTTTGTATTGTATTTTACGGCTTCGGATGAGTTTTCAATATTATTTGTAAAACAATGTTACATACAAAAGTATAGTATGTACAAAAAAGTGCAAAACATAATTATTAAAAATAGAAAGAACAAATGTTGAAAAATAGCACAGATATATTTAGCTCCATGAAAATAGTTATGAATAAAAAAAAATATGGACAAACTCTGCCTCGATCTTACAACACGCTGGACATTTAGATAATATATACCAGTGGTTTACCCAATTGCACTATAACGGTCAGAGTAAATAATTCACGGAAACAAGATGAATTTAATCATATTTTACTGCGTACCTTTCACGGAATTTACCGAACATTTATCTTATATTAATATATTCTGTGCATTGACCGTATAATCAGTATGGAATTGACAGGTTAATAAAATCAAATACCTCCAGATGAGCCAAAATATTTTAAGAAATTCAACAAATTGTGACACAAATCAGCCACCATAAAATGACAAGTTAAAACACTCGGAATATGTATGCATAGTATTAACAGACCCAAATGACCTTTAATATACAGAAGAACAAATATTGATGCAATGCAGCAATTGAGGAGAAACTCCGCGATAAAAAGCGCCCATGACGGATACCAAATGCCAAATCATTCTGCTCACAGGTCGTTTATTATTTAGGTTACTATTGGACCTTATTCCGAATGATTTGTAAATCATTTAGATTTGCATAATTATGCTTACGTCCATGAGAGGAAAATATATGCTTATACCAATTCCTTCCTAGTAAGAAAAATAATTGTTTGTTTCATTTTACGCCTTTTCCCAACATTATTTCAGTCATATGGGTGGGCAGAATTAGACTAACAAGACTTATAATGAGACATGACAGTAGTGCAATACTGATTCTGATCTACATAGTGGACAGATTTAAAACATAAACATTATAAAATTTAGTATTTGGTTCCATTGAATACGCATTTACAACAAATATATGTATTTTCAACTTCGACTACTAATTCCATGCCACTGAAAAAGATATTATCATAGCGTTCTGTTGGGCTGTACTCGTGTAAGAATAGGTCAGCAAGAAAAGTTGAAGAACATTATCAACAAAGTTGACGTTATATTATATCTCATTACCATAGTGTTTCAGAATATTTCCGAATCATGATTTCCAACATGATATTTGTTTTAACGACTGGATAAAACGCCACTCTAAAACGGTAAAAAGTGTCAATAAAAATATTTAGGTTTCGCCAACTCTGACTAGCTACTTGTATGCAATGTCCTCGGCCTATAACAAACTATTAAGGTAGTATCTGTCCGAATACTGCTGACCTCGGGAACATTAGAGTTCGCATTCAATTGTTAGAAAGAAATAGTTGTCTGACAAGACGGCTCTGCCTATGTCATGACCGTCCGGCACGGGATCCAACATAATTGATTTGCACAGTGCATATTGAAATACTGAAAGATATAACCCGCCGCCGCCCCCCCCCCCCCCAAAAAAAAAAAAAAAAAAAAAAAAAAACGAAAATTAGCGGAAGAAACATATTAAAAAAAGAAAATGAAAATGAGAGGAATTGAGTTAATAGAGATACGATTTACCAAATATTTTACCACATCAGTGTGTTAGTTAACAATTATTCACGATCTCTGTTTCGATAATAAGCGCAAAATGCATACGCATTTGGCTTACTGTAGATACCGAGGTTTATCTTTATATTTATTTAACTAGCGAATAATTTTAATAGCATTACTTTAAAGTAACTTAAACTAACAGTTAAGGCTATCTTAAATAAACACATGCCCTTTAAATGTCGAATTATTTTGAATGTTTTGTTTATCGTTTACTTAACCTCGTGTGACTTCCGGGACAAAATTTTGCAGTTGCGTAAAAATCACTAAGTGCTTTAGTTTTTATTTAGTGAAGATTTTAACAATTCAGGACCAACGGTCGCTCCCTACCAATCGCTTCGTTATTTTGGGTTCTTATTTGTTAAAATTTGACTTTATACACACTACATGTAATATATACTAAATTATTGCATCTTTTAGGAAATGAACTACTATAAACCTCGATCGCTACGATCTTGCCACGCTGGTGCAGACCAATATCTCGTACAGTAAAGTTCTATTACTTCTCGCCGCTTAGTAGAAACTAGACGCGAGAAACTTGAAAGTGAGCTTGACATAATCACGGTGATAGGGCGTTAACTATAACTTTCCACGCAACGACAAAATATTTTACTTCTGACAGACACCGTATATTTCTGTCACACAAAATAGATAGACAAACCTGCATACGACAAGAAAGCAAATGATAATATGCACCAAACAACGTAACATCAATTTGTTCATTCCATCGAATGTATCGTTTAATTTTCAGCTTTTTACTCTGTACAACATGCACAATGCTTTACTAACTAAGTCAAGATAGTGAAAACAGTTGGGGTGTACTGTGAAAAAATATTGCTTGATCGTCTTTTTTGTCCGTTCAGTTCATATGACTGATCAAAATACAATACGCATGTGTACATTTTTGTCGTTTGAAAAGGTTACACTAATTTATATTATTAATAATCCGTTGTGGTTTTTTTTTTGCATATTTGATATGATTTTCACGTTGTACAACGTGTGTACTTTGGGTACAACTTTGTAGACACCGCATTATTCGTTCTCATATCACCGCATTCTTTCTGTTGTTTTTCAGTAACGTCATTCGAAGAAAGATCCTTCTATGTGGGGTTTCTGTTTTTGAGAAATTTCGAAAACAGTCAAACAAACCGGCTTACTAATCTTTTGAGACACTTATCTAACTGGTATTTTTTAGATTGATTCGACCTTCAAAAGTCTTTCATCAAATAATATATTATTTATTAAACAGCAAGTAAACAGTCTTCGTCAATAAAACACATTGATAAGTAGATATATAATTTTACAGTTATTAATAAAGTATGGTGCAAAAATGCCGTAATTATCAGACTAAAGGAATAAAAATGCTGTGTTTTAATTCATTGTTGTGCGGTGTTCCAATATTCGTGTCGGTAGGTCTTTTTTCACCATTTATTCCTTAAAAGTTACAATACGGATTTCACGCAGTACGTACTGCGAGAAATCTGTTGGTAACTCGCAAAATGGAAACGGGTTTAGTGGTTGTAAATTAAAGATTGTTTCACTGTATTTCTTTCTGAAGCCCTTTATATAAATTAATTAGTGAAGATCTGGAGATAGGGTATCTAGGCAATAATTCTAACGTAAAGTATAGATTAAAATGAGCTGTTGATACTGTCATTTTGCAATTGATCAATATTGTATAGTTATCTATATGTATACTTTATTAAAACATTAACGTACAATTGACGATAATGTATACATATTTATTAGAAAGTTTATTAGTTATTTGTCAAATCTGCATCAGTTTGTAAAAAGTGCCACATAGTGAATGGGGCTATTTAATTCGATATTACCAGAAAAAAAGAAAGAAACAAACAAAACCTATAAAATAAAAAGTCTCCGGCAAAGATACACGTTTTTCTACTTATAATGTGTTGCGCGTAAATTAACTAAGCTTCAAAACTGTTTAAATACAAAACAAGGGATTAATCCTTTCTGTACGTATCTCCCCGCGTGAAATAATTATTTCCCTGCTCTGTTCTGGTAATAAAACAAATTTGACCACTTCTGACAGAAGGGATATCACGAATTCGAAAACCTAGCTAAACGCTGTTTTCCGGTACTTTCTGTACATAGCTCTGGGGAATTCACCTAATGGAGTGTAATAGCGGACTCGATGTTTTCGGCCTTTTTAAAATTAAATTGAAATAAAATAGTTATGTCTTTATAAGAAAATAATTTAATATCATTGTATGAATAAT